TAATTCCCATACCAATAATCAAAAAAAAAAAAAAAAACCCAAACTCACTGCCATGGTGTCGGATCTGACACATAGGGACTCCTCCTTGGGTTTCTGAGGCCGTGTCTCTATGGAAGTAGATTGCCCAACCTTCCTTCCGAGGAGTGGCTGGTGGGTATGAACTGCCAGTCTTCTGGTTAGGAGTCAAATGCCTTAGGTACTATGCCACCAGCATGCACATATAAATATGTAAAAAAGAAGTTTAGAATGATGGTTTCATTGTTTCTTCTCAAAATAACCTAAAATTTAACACTGAGGACTTTAGCACCTTAAAACAAGGTGCTAAAACTTCCTCACTCTAACTTATTTACAAATTAATGTATTGGTACTTTTGGACTATGTATACATGTATGTGTGTATGAATATATTTAGTGGGTGTTCCTTCCTATAAATTAATCAGTACACATTTGGCATGTTCATTTTTCTTTTGGGTCAAAGTTTTTCATAACTGTTTTCTTCCTCTTCAGACATTTCCTTACCACTCTTCCAATATGGATCCCTGGGTTGCACAAACGGTGAACACTTCAGCTGCTAACTGAAAGGCTGGTGGTTCAAGTCCCCCTAGAGGTACCTGGGAAGAAAGGCCTGGTGATCAACTTCTGAAAAATCAGCCACTGAAAACTGTGCAGCACAGTTCCACTCTGACACACGTAGGGTCACAATGAGTCACAGCTGACTCCATGGCACCTGGCTTTTCTTCAAATACAAGCTTAACTTTGAGACAGGTCAGCTGCAGAGCACAGGGCTCCTTACAGAGAACAGCTCCCTGAGCCCGGGTCCTTACCTGGCAGAACAGGATCGACGTGACTCTGTGGTCCCCGAAAGGTGGAATGATTGCTTTTCTCTGTGTTTGGTAATGCAGGTGGCTGCTTTTGGGCCACCACTTTCTGGTCCATTTCCAACAAAGAGTGCCCTGCTGCATCTTCACTCAGTCCGATGGTTCTTGACTGGGCAGGACTAGCTGCTGTGTGAGTCACCATCTTGCTGCCAAGGTTTACTGAAGAGTGGAAGGGCTACCATTAATTCTTGGATTTCTTTTCTGAACTTCAACTAAAAACCATGAAATTGGCAATTGATTTAAAGTGACAGATCTTGGGGAATAATAACCCATGCAAGGAAGACCTACCAGAGCCTCATAAAATAGTGTTCTTCAATTTTCAGATGCTGAGATCTCCATGGAGCTCTCCAAGGG